GATCAGATATCAACATATGATAGTTCCAAACTCCAAATCTAGAAAACCTAGACGACGGAATCGCCTCACCAGCTCCGATAAGATTTCACGCTCTATCACTAAACAAAACCAGTACGAAACTCTCACACAGTGAAATATAAAGGAAAGTTTGCGGCAGTTTACCTGTAGTTTATAAGTTTGCCCTGTTACAAGAGGGCCGACACTGAACTTCGTATCGGATACGTTTTCATACCAGAGACCCAGCGCGCCATCGTTCCCATCATCAACATATACATCCATGGTCAAGTTATACTCAACCTCCTCCCACTCCAACTCAATGTGGGTCCTGACAGTACGTCCCATACAGGGAAAATGTCCATTAGAAAGTGCATCGTATCTAGTGCTCACCGCGACACATTAGATGGCCACATTCGTATGATCTGTAGCTGTTGTCCTCCGCTGACCACCACTCCCAGAGATGATTCCCCCGGCCCTGCTCCCGTCACTGCTCGTACTCTCAGGACATAGTCTTGGCCAGTCTCGAGGACATCCTTTCTGAAGTGCATACACGTCATGGGTTCATCACAACTCGTGTTACCCTATGAAGGTAGTCTCCCACGGTTGGTGATCGAAGACCCAATCGTTTTGTGCAGCAGTCCAGTTGACCGTCGCCTCACTCAGTGGTGTATCATAAGAGCTCACAAGGACCTGGAATGCCTTCACAGATGTTCCTCCCTCATCCCGGGGATATTTCCATCTGAATCAGTGAGTGCCAAAATCAAACCACCTCAAAATAACGACGCACCTCAACTCCTTCGGTCCGGTCGACACGACCTCAGTCGGTGGACCACTAAGCTCAGCAGCAACAGTCTCTAGCGGCGGAGACCGGGTACTCTCGGAAGCTGCTGATAAGGCGGTCAGCCAATACGTATAGGAGACGCCGGCCTCCAAACTGCAAGAACGGGCTCATTCCAGTGCTAGGGGTGCCCCCCCACCTGAGGTGTGTGTAGCTCAATTGATCGCCAAGGCCCAAGCCGTCATAGACTAGGCTGACCTCTCCGTAATCACCACGCTGAGCATAAACACGATACCCGTCAGCTCCTGTGACCTGATCAGGGGACATATCAAAAGCGCAGCATGACGAGCTACCTCATCCCATCGCAAAGTTACAGCAGTCCTCGACAGCGGCGGATAGTCTCTTGTAGGAGCAGCAGGGGTAGGTGGAGGCGTAGCTATAAAGCATCACTGTGACCAACTTAAGAAATGTCTAGATCTCACTGCATAGGGCCAACAGAGGCTCTGATGCATAAGAATAGTCCAAGTCGTCGATGCCATTCATCGCCACAACTCTGTAGCTGTAGTATTTACCATAAATCAAACCCCCTATCGAGCCTCTATCGGTGAAGTTGACCTCTCGCATCGATACCTACCACAATCTGCCCTATCATTCTAGCCTGGACAAGAACTCGTACGGAGCCAATGAGCTGCCAGTCAGAGGGGTCCGATTCGGATGCTCTAAGTAGCTTATAACCGGTCAAAGGGGAACCACCATCATCCAGTGGTGGATCCCATTCGAAGGCTATCCATGCTGGGCTGGTCAGGCAATCAGCACCACGAAGCCTAATACGAGTTATTCATTTCCGGGAGATGCACACATGGGACCACCGTGGGATGCTAGTTGGACCCGGGATACGCCCACAAGGCCGGTTGAGGTTCTCGCTCACTGGCCCGTCACCAGCCACAGAGGTTGCATATACCTAGTACAGCGAGGGAAGGGTACCAATCTCGAACGTGGCATCACCCTGAAGTCATAGTAGGTGCCGCTGGTGCACGGAGTGAGTGTATAAGAAAGATTCGTCATGTCTGAGGGGAAATTGATATCGGGAAACCTACTGCGCATTTTGGTCATACCCGAGACCCTCGTTTGGCCGTCTACCAAAACCGTGTAAGAAACAGGTGTCAGTGAACTGTTCACGGCGTCCCACTTCACAGTGATGCGGTTCTCTGAATTACCCCCACCTACAACTATTGGCTGACTCGGAAGGTCACTTAGCCGCCTTGAGGCCGTGCCATCACTGATGGCCAATTCTTCACCATCTGGCTCATCACTAGTGGCGACTACCGTTTTGTCCACTCGAGGGGCTGGTAGCGATAGCAGTAGGGGAGGGGACTGGATCAGTGATGATGACGACAGTGAAGTCGCCTTTCGGTTGCGACCAACGGTCTTGGTCTTATTGTGAGTAGACCTATCACTCTTGGACCGGAGGGTTCTCGTAGGCGCCTGGACTTTATTCACATCAAGACGTCTCCGTGCTATTATCGAAGTTGCGTTCGTGACATTCAATTGGCGGGGGAAATCCGCAAGAAGATAAGGAGAGTGAAAAAGATAGTCGGAGGGAAGTGGCTGCAGCGGCGGCGCACTGCCATTGGCCCACAGCAGAGTCGCCGAATCGCCTCCTTTCAAGCCGTATAAATGTACCTTGTTGCATATTAGAATCACCGTTATCAGGAATAGAACCGAGGACCTCACCTGTATTGGGTACAGGATTCCCCCCTTGAGTGAGACGGTTGCATTAATAGCATCAACGGTGTAATTGAAGTAAATACGAGTGACAAGAACTCGTGAAGGAGCATCCACACCAAGTGTGTAGTCGCCATCTTCAGCAGGCATCACATAGCCATCCCAGATGATCGAAGCGAACCCCCATTCTGACGGCACTTCAAAGCTATGAGCAGCAGGCCCTGGCAATGGGTATCTCCACTAGAACAAGGGGAACTCGTTGGGATAACACAGCTGAGCTCACCAGAGTCGGACGGTGCAGATCTTCTGGCCATGGTGTATCCCATACTCGAAGATAGAGACCTCCACGCTGAAGCACGTAGCACCAAAGTTGATATACTCCATTTGACGGAAACGCTTCCGGGCTCAAAGGTAGGTCAAAGCGGGCGATGGTCGAATCGAGTTGAATCTGAGGACGTTGATAGTTCCCCTTGATACGAACGTACGCTCACTGGCCCGATTCGTTTCCTGTAGAATTGTGAACGAGTGTCACCCACGCCAATTTCCCCTAGTCTCGCGGGATAATCAGCAGTACACATCATAGCCACAGTAAGATCGCCCACCAGCCTATTGCCATAGATGTCCTCATACCACAGGCCGAGTTTCTGAGGTGGATCTTCATCCTTTCGGTATGCATCTGGCCACACGTGCCCTGTGCTCGGACTGTACACACTGAATGATGCATTCAGAGCAGCCCCCTCGGGTGCAGCAGGATGGGGCCTCACTGTAACTGTGAAGGACTCAGCCGTCCCCACCATAACCAAGTCATTGTTGACTCGGCATTGGATGCGAAGTACCCCACTTATAATCGGTGTATAGCGACAGGCCCAGAGTTGGGTTGTGTTCGTGAACACACATTCGATCGGAACAACGTGAGAGCTCCCATTACTGGATACCAAACACTCTACGGAGTCCCCCTCGGCCCAGTCAAGACGTGGATTCTGTAGTCTGTCGTATAGTGTGATGTGAAAGGAGGCTTCCCTCGCGACAGTTGCTTCAACAGAACCGTCTCCAGACACGACACTCAGTGGCCCGTAGCCACTCGAGGGTCCGACCACCACCTCCATTGGCGAGCCACTGATGTCTTCTCCGTCCAAGGTGACTACCAGAATGCTCGAGAATGATGTGACCTTCGCTGAACTCAGGAAATCTGAGTCATCAGGCTGCAGTGCACGCATCCTCGCGCTGCTCAAGTAAGGTCGCACTGATGCTCTATAAGCTCCCGATACACTTGGATGGACTGTCCAGCTGATCGTAGCGTCTGGGTCGCCACTTATATAAGCATCGAGACGATCAGTTAGATTTTCCCTCCAAGAGGTGGTGAGAGCATACCCCCACGCATCTCGTGGGATGAGAGTGAAGTTGTTCTCGGTCGAAGCAAGTAACAGTCCTAGATCCGCAACTGTCGACTGATTGGCCACTGGAGGGCCGGCATCAATGATAACCGTTAGAGGACTTGGTCCGTGATGAACCGTGCCGTTGATATACCGCACAGGCAGCCCATGATGCAACTCCGATGCATTGATCTAGCAAAGGTGAGTGCAACCCAAAGGGCGGCTCGATCGACGTGACTCCATAACCCCACCTCCCTCCAGTCGGCCACTACCGTGGCGTTATTGGAGTGATAACGGTGAAGGAATTGAAGCTTAGCATGTCCCTCGAAATGGATGTATGTCAAGACGCATGGGAACGGCCGGTAGACGTTGTGCACCAGTGGATTCATCGTTGCGTTGCAACTGGTCAGCGAGCCACACTGTGTCCCTGCAATTCAGAGCCATAGAGTTCTAGATCATGTTCTCTATGATCTCACCATTCAATTGGAGAGTAACTTCAGCGCCTACGTTCGTATGAACTGCGAACTCATGCGTGCCGCCTATCAATGGTTCTATTGGTTGAGGTAATAACCAGAAGTGCCAAACAATGCTCCATCTGAGTGCCGCCAACAATGCCTCTACCTGGAAGACTTAGAAAAGTTTTCAAGGAGATTCACCTGGAAATTGGCGCGCCGGGATGGACAAGTGACATCACGGGTAGGTCCAAGCTAACACTCTCGTCAATTCTGGTGTACCTGATTTGCATCTCGAAGGTGTTTGTACGAGCTGGCGAGAGATAGGCTCCTCCCAGCCGCGGTTACATCAGTTCCTCATCAAGGTTATAAGCCGATTGGAAGGCATCTATCATCGCACTGTCACCACCTCCGGGAGTAGAATAAACAGTCACTAGTGAGCCCCCAGGGACTACTTGTGTGACCTGAAGAACATGATAAACTAGACCATCGCTATACATCACGAGAATTCATTATTAGTATGGTACTATATCACCAAAGTAATAGAGATATGGGCAGGAGTATTCAGAATACATTAGCTGGGTTACAATGGCAGGGGTAGGTATGAGTATACGTTATCATATTTGGAACCGGTGTACGTAACCAACCACATGTATACCAGAGGCGAGGATCGAACTCGCGATCTTCTGCGTGTAAGGCAGACGTCATAACCACTAGACTACCCCGGCAATATGGAAACTTCTAACCTTGCTGGGCAAGCCAAAGAAAAAGCATAATTACTCACCACAACTTCCCATAAGCCTGCCCTTTGCGGACGGAGTGTTTCATTAGTGACAGCAGACGTGTTATCCCGTCTGTTGGTGTACCTGACGAAGGCCAGACGAAACGTGGAGCTCTTATGGTCGCAATTTCAAGCATACACGCCAGCCGATGTGTTATATTGGAGCCATGATGATATTCGACTGGAGCCACCCGCGTCAGTTAACCGTGAAGGGCCTGAGAAACCCGACAGTGCGAAGCGGATGAAATCGAATATCAAAACCCGGTGAGATCATAGTGAGGCACCTTACCATCCATCGTAACTAAATAATGCTGACCATTCGCCGCAGGATGGGACACTAAGTGGCCATAGGCATCCCGAGGAGTGCAAGTGACAATGAAGTCCTCGCCTGCTCGAGGTGGGAGGATCTGTTCGACCTCATGTAAAGTGACAATATTTCCTCCAATCGATCCCACTGTGTTGGCTGGGACTTCACAATCCGATCCCAATGGTGAGGGTGTTGATGGGTGAAAGGTTAGCAGATCGTCCGGTGCGCCCACCACCTACATACGATCATCGGCGTTGAGGGTGTCTAATGCGGGTGTGGCTGATTTCGATACACGGTGAACTTCTCATACCGAACGCATGGATGTTTTAAATGGCCCACCAAAGGATGCCCAAAGAAGAGCTCACTTCCTCGCAGACGTCTGAGTCGACCGGAAGACTCTCCTCGCTTTGCGTTCTACAACCAATCCCCACGAACACTCGAAGTCTATCGATTTCCCGAGCTAAAGAGAAGCCGAATCACATCATCTTCAAAGAATAGCAGCTGTCACAATGAGAGCCCGTCCGCTCGCTAACGAGATTATCAGAAGAGCATGGCTACCTGCAACTGGGTACTCTACCATTACGGTCACACTGCCATTGCTATTGATGACTTCATCTTCCATCCAAACACTTCCGATACGAGCTCTCACCTGGACATGGGCAATGCTCAGCGAAGCGAAGCTATCAAAAGTTACCTTAACACGTGAGGCGAAAGGTATGCTTTCTGATATATACTCTTCGCGATCAACAACAACATTGCCGGCTGAGTCACGAAGTGTCACGAGCGCTTCATATGGCCCTCCGCCCGCCACCTGACCAATGAGATGCAACGGCCATTCCGGCGTAGAACTCAGGGAACTCACTAAATTGCTTTGGTACGTAAGGCAATAGAAGCACTCTACCGTAGAGTGGAAGCCTCGAGGTATCGAAGGACGAACTGTGATCAAGTGGGGACCTGAAGATGATTAAACTGAGCGAAGCGTCGATCAACCAAACATAACTTACCTTGGACTAGTTCTTGTCGACAATCACACACACCTGGCCGCCCCTGATCGGTATTGCAAGGCTCTGGCCCGTAGCATTGACTTCCGATGGGTGCATCGCCCATCACAACACTAGCCGGCAAACCATCGACATCTACACTGAGTTCTTCTGATGTACCAGCTACCGTTGGAATAATACTGCAGAAGAACTGTCCATCACCAACGTAGGAACATGGCTTATCAGAGACCCCAACTGGTGTCCTGATCCGGATGGTCACAGATTGTCCCGTATCAACAGACAGGATGTTGCCATAGCGATCTCGGAGTAGCACAGCGAGGGTGATGTTGGTCACGTTGGCCAATATAGGGCTCGTCCAAAGATGGTGGAGATCCGCATGCTGGATGATGCTCATAGGACCGTAAGCCTCTGTCTCTGGTAGACCCCACGCATACCAGCCATAGTTCTCACGCGCCTCAATGGTGTCTAGCACTCCAGAGCGAGCAATATCCGGACTAGAAACCATAGGGCCTCGGATACGCGTCTCATTGATTGATACCATCCAAACGCTCGGCCCGGCTCTGTACGATGTGAAGGCCAGACGAATCAAGCTCAAGTTAGAGTCGACTGACTCCACCACAGGCTGAATTGACACTGGAAACTTAGTGGATAAATAAAGAAAGTCCTCGAGAAACTCAAAATCGCCACAACTGGTACGCCAATCGCTCCACGTAAAGTTGTCACAGGAAGTGGTATTAGCCGGCGAGCTTGGCAGTTGTGGGTGTAGATTCAAACGGTCGTGAGGAGACAGCCAGGTGAGGACCGCTTCAAGGTGACGTTTGGGGTCCAGGCTCTCGACTGAAGCAGGGTTTCCTACAGCATCGCGAAGGATCAAGTCGATGTAGGACCGTATACCAACTTGGAACTGCGTAGTTGCCGTCCCGTTGGCAACGACTTGGAATGCCGATACCGTTCCTCTCTGGATGTCTATAGCGAAGGGAGAACCTTCAACATGGAGACCGTTCACCGTGACACTCAAGTTGTGTTGGCCACATCCTACCAATACCACATGGACCACGTAAACACCATTTCCTCCACTGCCCATGGTAACCATCGGCTCACCCATAACGCCTAGAGGATGGGTCTGGCAATAACTGTCGGGGTTCGTTGGTGTGAGTGAGGCCAGAACCACAGTGTCGGAGTAGAAGGTGTCGCAGTCGTTACCAATCACATCACGGGTCTGCACATACAGTGTAGTTTTTTGAGATGCAATCGGACGGGTCAACTCGTTGCCATCAGCTTTGACGACGCTTTTAGGGCCATAAGGCTTACCAGGACCAACCACAATAGGAAAAGGTGCATCCTCGAGATACGCACCACGGTGAAGATACCTACCATTGAGGTTAGGGTGGCCTATAGGGAGTAGAACGAATAATCACTTGCTGCTAACAACCTCCTTTCCCTGCCATACACTGCTACTCCACAGCAACC